CCCCCCCCCCCCCCCCGTCACGAAAATGTTGATGGAGGGCTTATATTCTTGATAGAATTAACATTTTGCAGACTGAATAAAAAACAAATCTAATGAATAAAAAATGTCATAAAGTGATAACCAGAAAACTATAGAATAGGAAGACGACATTAAAGCAATAATAAATAGCATTTGATGGGGTTACAAAGCAAATAGTTTTTCTAGTAAATTATAAAATCAGTTGATAAGTCAATTGGGCCTTTTTATACCGCACACTTTTGTTGTCTCATGTTCATTGCACTATTTAAATTCATTGAGTTTTAAAGTCGTCTCCCTATTCCAGAGTTTTCTGATTATCACTGTAATACAGGTTTACCTAAAAAGTATTATACTTTAGAGCTAGCTACGACTACACGGAGTTTATAAAATCTTTCTTGGCCTCCTCCTGGTGGAAAACTTGTTTCTATCTTTTCCCTAGTATACCATTGAAAGACTTAACAGAAAAATAGGATAGACTCTTCATATTGAAGTCTCATTTTTTTATGGGTCACCCTGTATTCAAAATTAAAGTTAAAACCCGTAATATCTTTGTCCGTCTTAGTTGGGATTAAACCGTTCAAAACTATCTCTGAACTCCGGACTATACCTTGGTGGGAGTAGGCCATGCATTCTGAACTCCGGACTATACCTTGGTGGGAGTAGTCCATGTATTCTAAACTCCGGACTATACCTTGGTGGGAGTAGGCCATGTATTCTGAACTCCGGACTATACCTTGGTGGGAGTAGGCCATGTATTCCCAGAATTTGGCGTTCTTCTATTCCAGCAGCCAGCCCCTTGTTAATCCTGTAGCAGGGTTATCCAAGTGAATAAGTAAAGACGACTTTTAGTTCACGATTTGAGAACGTTCATAAAAAAATGTTCAATCTTATAGTACATCTTTTAGCATATTAAGTAGATTTAAGTTTTAAAAATATTTAAAAATTAGGATTTTAATTAGCAAAGTCAATCTTAAACCATTCAAAGTTATCAAGAGCGCAAGAACTATTCAATACCTTTGGGGATATTTTTGTGTATGCAAATGATTTTTAATTTAAAAATTATATTTAATCGTTTTGAATGAAGATTACCAAAGTTTAAAGTCTTGCGTTACCCTTTTTACAGAAAATATTCATAATTTCATGAAGAAACACCATGATTTTTAATATCGAAAATATTCATAATTTCATGCAGAAACACCCTGATTTTTAATATCGAAAATATTCATAATTTCATGCAGAAACACCATGATTTTTAATATCGAAAATTTTGCCCGATCGGAAATATGTTTCAGCAAAAAGTTTTTGGAAAAATTGGTTATCATGTAAATTGTTTGTGCATGATTGGTTATTGACTTGCGGAATTCTGCTGCAAAAATAATGGAGGAATTAAAGAATAAAAAGTTTGTATGGAGAAGCAAGACGTAATCTTTAACATGCATGCATTGACGAGATAATGATTTTAATTAGGTATTAGTGGATTTTATTCTTATACCTGGGGTTTTTCATGCTTTCAGATCCTGAAATAGTAGAGGGGTAGATTCCTTCCGGTGGAGCCATTTTCTTTTAATTCTTTGCAAACACTTGTAAATAATTTGGTAAAATTATGGTTTTCTGAGGCAATATAATATGCACAATAAGAGCGCAAAACTAGACTTGTAGCAAACTAAATCATCTGTACAAAATAAGATTTTATTTTGTTGTATGCCCTAACAAAAGATTGTACTGGTAGGCGTAGGACAGCAAATTTAATTTCAGTGTCTCTGTCGTTAAGGAATTTTCAATACCAAAAAAAATTATTACAATTATAATGATGAAATGGATATCGCAAGAACAAAATAAATTTTTCGCATTATTTCGCTAAATTTACCGCATGTTTCAATAAATCAAGGGTTTGTGCATTTACTCTAAGGCTAGTTTTTTGATAACTAACATAGAAACATTTTTTTATAGTTATCAAAGGCAATGATCCAGGATTGGACAAATGAAAGTATTTAGTATAACTTACAACCAAAGAATTTAAATATTGCAAAATATTATTGCATCATTTCAAATGAAAATTGCATGTGCATCAGGACTTAATTTATATTTCTTCAATAAAAGAAGATATTATTTGTCTGCCATTCTGACTTTATCTGCAGCTTATGTAGAATTATAGAATGAATAACAGAACTGTATGATATAGATGCATGGAGTATAGACTACACAGCTGATATTCCCCTCAGATATTCCCCTATACCCTTCTTTACAGATCTGCAGCTGACTTTCCCCNCTCCAGCCTCTATCCCCCGACAGACTGTCTCACCAATGCATTTTGCAAAACATCTTTTCCAACAAAGACAATAAGTGTCAATGCAAAAATACCCCCACCCCCCACACAGGTGTCCGGGTCCCGCCGTACTTCTTTTTGTCATATAAGCATTTGTTATATAATAAACTTAACGAAGATATCTGATTTTCTGAGTTAACCGGCTTTCACAAAGGTTATACATTATAGACTGAGTAGAAATAAGTGTAATCTAAGATTGGATTATTGTTGCAGAGTAGAATGTCAGTAATCTTCTTTGTAATCAGTATGTCAACTTTCAGGGTTCAACGGTCGTCGGTAATATCATGATTATCAGTCACTAGTCACAAAGATTAAACTATAACATTGAACTTCAACTTTCATACATTTCAATGAGACTTAAAACCAGTGCTTGAGAAACGAAACATTTTGGCTTCCTGGTTCCTGATCCGCAAAAATATGCGGATCCACGGAAAAAAAATCTCAACCGAAAACTCTAAAAATAAAGTTGTGCGCTCAAAACCCATATCTAAATTTTTGAAAAAAATTAATGAATGGTTCATCTAGTTTTAGGCATAACAATAAGCGAAAAAAGAAGAAATAATTTGAAAATTATTCTGTTAAAAAATCAGAAAATCTTTTAGAATTATTCATAGATTTGATTAGAATGATTTTTACCTAATTTAATACTTTATTCGAATAAATTAACGATAAATACAAATAAATTACAACAAATGCAAAAAATAACTAAAATTAACAATACATTATAAAATTGTGCAAAATTTGTGCGAAATAAGTTGCGAGGTTAAATATTTCTAGGCCTTTAATAATGTCAATGTTAATATGTACACTGTTCAGGGTTACCCACAAAATGTGAGACTTTCTTTGTTAATTAATTTGATATGATAAAACCAGGCTAGATTATCAAAGCCATGCAACCAATTTCAGTCTTTAAACTAGGATACTTTTAGTTTAAGGTAGTCATGAAAGTCTCATCCTTTACGGGCAACCCTGTATAAACATTGTACAGTGTACACTATCCTAAAGTACGTAGAATAGTACTGAACAAAGTACCAAGTGTTACAGAAATGGCCAAATAATACTTCACATAAAACGCGAAGTGCCTAAAGAATTCCTAAAATGCACTCATTATACAATATAAGTTTTCTAACGCAGAAGATGAAATAAATTAGGAGTCTTACCGTAGAGATCATTAATTTCTCGAAACGTTTGTTTATTGACTAGAAATAACTAAATAACGTTTAGGAAAAATATTCAAGTCTAAGAAATTGTGTTTTCTAGATTTTAATTTCGATTTTTCAAATAAAGTGATTATATCTTTTTATAACTAGAGGATATTTCAAAAACAATGTTATAGTGACTAGCCGAAATTTCGTAGTTTTAAGTATGCAGGAACGATTTTTTTTAAACATATTGAACCACAAATGAACAATTATTTTATGTACATTAAACATGCGGATAAATTTTTTTAAGCATTTCAGATTGCAAAATTTAAAAAGATTAAAACCTAGGATTATTAGGAGAAATTTATGAGAATTTTTTTTGACAAAAAATGATGATGATAAAACGGGCAGCCGTAGCACATTTGAATTTCCGAGCCGGTGCAACAATGTTGACGCGGTCAGACTTTATGCTTCATACAGGTTGAATTTACTTTGACTAAAAGGGCAGATTTGCGTGATAAGAATTAGTACTTTCACCGGTCTAATATTCTGTAAATATTTTAAAGTACATTTTTAACATTATCCTTGGCATTAAACTATACAATGAGAATATTTGTTTTATATGCTTGACTTTTGTTGCGAGAAATAATCATATTTAAAAAATTGTGCTTTGTAAATTTTTCTCGAATTCTTGATTTTATTTGCTTTGCTTTAATGTTATAAATTAGTAATGCGTGTTTAAACAAGATCAAACGCAGCTTATCTTAAACAGACAAAGATTCCAAAAATTCTTTTATGAAACTATTGTGTACTTTATCATAATTACTCACTTAATTGTGAATTTCATAATGAACGTGCTTAAAGTAATCATCTTGCTATAAAGTTAAATTAGCTAAACATTATAACACGTGTGCTATAATGTTTTGATTGGTTCCCGGATTTTTTCCAAAATATTTAGGATATTTCCAAAATATTTTTTTGAATTGAAATGAAAATAAAATTGAAATCAACTTTATATTCTGACTTCTGCTTTGTTTCAAGGCGTATTTGATCTAGAAACAGCTATTGAAATAAGACAAGTACACAAAAGTCTCATAAAATTACCGTTAACACTATTATTTTGGCACGACGTACTGTAAAGTCAATGGAATTTTCTCTATATCTCTAAGGTTCTCGCCTTTTTAATTATATTTTAATCTGAAAAGGCTTGAACCATCTCGATAAAGAGTAAATTTCTATCCAAAAACTTTACACACTGCGAACCAAAATAACAGTGTTATAAATAGTTATTATAAAACTAATACTAACTTAAACACCAGAGTAGTGTCTGTTCTGAAATTAAGCATCGTTGGTTTAATTTAGGATTTTAATTTTTCTTTGGCTTGATGTTAACGCGCTTGAGTTTGGTTTGGCTGTTCACGTACAAGTGTACAGTCACCAGTGTAGGGACTAATTTCGCGGTAAAATTGTTTTCGAGGATTTACACAATATTCTGGGAGGTTTGTTCAGATTCATTATCCTTCTCTACAATATAGAAATCATACCAGTCTCCTCCCCACATGCAGATTACTGCTAGATTCTCAACTATTATACTGAAAAACAAACAATTTCAATTATGATTCAGAACTCTGATTGAAAAATAATGTTTATTAATAAATGGTGATTGTTGGAAATAAATAAATATATATGAAAAACCCAATTCTCTAAAAATTCTATTTATCTATTTATTTACCTGAGTACCGAGGCTAACGCTATCTCTATCACAGACAGTACAGATCTAAACCAGCTGTACCGATGGATGGGAAACTGTTTTATGTACCCAAACATGTACATGTACAGCGGTACTCCTCCAATCAAACTAAACAATAGAGAACTGTACAATGTATATGTTTGAACAGTACACTGGCAACATTCTGTGGATCTTAGTGCGCTTAACTTAATACTAGCTGCCCATCAAAGTAAGTTGTGACAAATCAAAATGGTTCTGCAAATAGCATGTAGTCTTGATATCTGACATGGTTCAAATGAATAGAAAAAAGACCTATAATCAAAAATCGTATTTTATAAACTATTTTTTCGAGTAAAGGTGGCCATGGTTTTTGTGAAGAAATGAAATTTTCGTGATTAGACAAAAAAAATTTTGAACAAAGATTTTATTTAGTAGTCAACTTAAACGAACCTAAAAGACAATTCAGAATTTTTTTTTTGCTATACACACAAATTTAATGAAGATAAAAAATAGAACAATTGATTTATTTAGTCTAAATTAATAATTTTTTGGACAATCGCTGATACGGGTAACAAACGAAAATCAAGTAAGATTAATTAAGACAAACGCAAACTGAACTAAAAAACCAAAATAAACATCCGATTGATGATAAATAAATTAATTTAAAAGTAGAACATGTACTTCTCTACAATTATACAAAATTACATTTGGACGAAAATACAGAATTAGAATAAAATGCTTTTAGTTTCTAGTCCCAATATCTTAGCAACCGGCCAGATGTTTAGGCCTTTAAAACAAACTTTTAAACAATGGTATCTGAGCTTTTCAAACCTTATCCTCTCAGTTTGTAAGTTTTTATTTCATTTAAATTAGCTTGATAAATTATTTCAAATTAAATATTTATATAAAGTTTAATCATTCAGATATTACAAACAGTAGTCATCGATTATTTTTCGACGCATTCGTATATAATTAATATTTCATAATATTTTTGATTTTTTTTTTTAAATAATTTTCGCTGGCGCTGGATTTTTAAACATTCCTGGAAAATATGAAAATGTCGTCTTCATTATCAAAAATCCTCGAAACAGGAATAAATGTTTTCAAAAGTAACTATCAGATCATGAAAAATACAAAATATTATGAAATATCAACTTTTTACGAATGCGTCGAAAAATAATCGATGACTATTGTTTGTAATATCTAAATGATTTGTTTGGAATTAAATTGATTTGTTTACGATCCGAGTTGAAAGTTGAATCTTTCTGAATTTATTTGGACACTACGTTCTTCGGTATTAGTCGTTTTTAACAATTTTCTCCTTATAGACGCAACAGATAGAAGTAAGATTAGTAGCGATCAAAAGCGCTTTTTTATCGCATTAAGCCTATTACCCTTTCATTTTTCGTAAACACTCCCTTTAGGCTCATTTCTTCTGATCAGAAATTAGATGATTTCTAAATATTGGCCTTTTGTTCATAATTAAATTTTTATTGATGCGCACTTGAAGATATTAAATTTATTTCTGTGAAAAATTCTTTTCAAAAAATTATCATTATGTTTTTAATATTGAGTTTATAAAGAAGCTAATCCTTATTTTCGAGAGCGTACTTCTATTTAATATAAATTTAGAGAAAAAATTTATATTAAATACAACAACAGTCATATATTTGTAACAATAATCAGTTATCAAGTTTAAAATTTACCAAAAAATATATGTATAAACATTCTAACATCATTTTATTTCAAAGATAAAGATTGAGCATTATTTACAAATTATCTTTTTATGCAACATAAAACTATTATACAAACAAATATAAAAACACATATTTTATCAAAGTTGGATTTTTAGAATTTAAAATCAAAGATAAGTAGAAATAAAAGACAAGATGTCCTTATCAAAATAAATGATCAGAACTAGCGGAACATATGCAACTAATCTTATCATTGCTATTTCAGGAAATGCTCTGAAGGAGCTTCCAGCAGTTAAAAAGGAAACACATTTTATTAACATTCCAGCCAGAGAAAAAGTTGTTAAAAAACTGGCAGTTTTAAGGAAATGTTTCTGAAAGGTTTGTTTGGCAAGTATTTTGATTTCGTTCGCACCAGCATTGTTTGAATTTAGTTGTGAAGTCAGTGTAGAGATATCTTGAACAGCAACAACGATTTCTGCCTCACAAATATCCACTGCAGTTCCTCGAACCGAATGTAAAGAAGATCTTCTGAGATTCTCTTTGACTTTGGGCTTGAAAAGTGGTAAAGATTCAGAGCGCTGAATAAGTCTTTGATTCCAAATTACTTCGCTTCTTACAGGCCTAGATGGTTCAGCATGACTCACTTTATTTCTCCTAAGTTTTTTATATTCCTTAATGAATATGTAGACCATTGTTGATGTTTCTAGTATCATAATACTTGTTATTACAATATAAATAGTAGGTGGAAGTGAGCATAGTTGATCATCCTCTATGATCCTTGTAGTGTTGTTAGCATAGTGATCATCCTCTATGATCCTTGTAGTGTTGTTAGCATAGTGATCATCCTCTATGATCCTTGTAGTGTTGTTAGCATAGTGATCATCCTCTATGATCCTTGTAGTGTTGTTCATGACATTGTTTTGAATATTGTTAATTCCTGCCTCTGATTTGAATATGAACAACATCCATGTGTTTGGATTTTCAGAGCACATAAAAGATAATAAAACCATATCTAGTGCACTAATGCCCAAAGCTAACAAACCAGCAAATACTGCACCAGGTGTAGCAAATGGAGCTAGGTTGTTGAAGATAGCTGGATTTGAAAACAGTAGAAGTCTTCCAGTAGACAAGATGCAGATTACTATTATTTCCATGATAGTGTAAAACCTAACAGAAAATATCCCAGCAATGATGGCAGGGTAGGCATCTGTTACTGCCTTGAGCTCAGAATTCCAGAAATAGGCAAGAACTGACACCAAAAAGCATCTTACAGTTCCCAGATTAAGAACTCCGGTTAATAAAACTAGAATTCGGTTCAGCAAATTTTTCTGTGCAGGTGGTCTAGTGTTCAAGAAGTGTATGAGAATGACAGATGCTGATATTGTGAGACAGAATCCCAAGCAGCTAATGCAGAGAGTATAGATGCTAGGCATTTCAGGGACAAATGCAACAAGGCACATGTATGCAAAGACGCAAGTGACCTTAATCCAAGCCTTTAAAGACATTTTTGTATTATTTATTTCTGATGCTAAGAAATATTAACTGATTTGACTCTTTTGAGTGGCGGGTTGGACAGAATTGACCAGACAGACTCAGAGAGAAGAATAATATTTCGAGCTCTCGGGATGTTGCCAAGGGAGATCAAAAACAATTAATTAACTCAATTTAATCTTCGAGCTCTCTGGATGTTGCCAAGGGAGATCAAAAACAAACAATTAACTCAATTTAATCTTCGAGCTCTCTGGATGTTGCCAAGGGAGATCAAAAACAAACAATTAACTCAATTTAATTTTCGAGCTCTCTGGATGTTGCCAAGGGAGATCAAAAACAAACAATTAACTCAATTTAATTTTCGAGCTCTCTGGATGTTAACAAGGGAGATCAAAAACAAATAATCAACTCAACTTATTCTTCCCTGCAAGATTATAGTAAGAGGATGCGGAGAAGGTTGGAAGTAAGAAAATAAAATATTTATCAATTAAAACTTTTTTTGCACAACCAAATCCTCTCAATCAACTAAGAACTTTATTTTATTTAAAAATGATCATTTAGTAGTCTAAAATTAAAAATTCATAACAAAACAAATTGTTACAGCACACAGTGAAATTTTTCCAAACAAAATTTTACAGAAGAAGGGAGTCCTAAAATTTATCATTCACCCTTACATATTTTCCTTTAATTTGTTGGATATCACACTCAACACAGGGTAAACAAAGTGCAGAATAGACTGCATATTAATTCCAATCTTAAAAGGGACTGTAAGGGTAATTTAAAGTTGACCTCCATACATGGGTGGCAATGCCCGATTCACAACAGTTTAGAGCTTTCTCTACAGAAGAGAATTGCTCATTTCTATTGCAGGAAAACATATAGGAATGATCATATTAAATTTTTAACCTTATAAAAACGACAATATCTTCTTCATCATGGATCAGATGAAGGTTTCAAGGGTACATTTGTGGATCAGGTATTGACATGTTTGCATGAGGGTTACTTAAATTACTCTTACAGTCTCTTAAAGTTTGGAAAGAAGTAAATAACTGTTTGAAAATGTTCTTGTAAATGAGGGGTCATATTGTAATCCCGGGCCAAAAACAATTAAAATACAATTTTTTTTTTTACCTGAGAAGAAAATCAATTGTTGGACTAACAGACATTGGGTATATCTGGGTCAGAACAACATTAGAGGTTGTCAACGGCATCGTCAACCAGGAGGCTAGAAAAAAGAGATAATGGGGTAAAAAATATCTTAGTAGCTTTCAAAACACTTTCAAATTAGTTTCATTTGTTAAAAATACTTTTTCTTAAAACACTTCTTAAAAGTCTGTAGGAAAAGAAAGAAAATCAACCAGGGAAAAGAAAGAAAATCAACCAAGGAAAAGAAAGAAAATCAACCAAGGAAAAGAAAGAAAATCAACCAAGGGAAAGAAAGAAAATCAACCAAGGAATAGAAAGAAAAATAAATAACCTGCATCCAGCGTTTCCTCTGCTTAAACAAATCCTGAAATGTAAAAGGACTTTTTTCCTGCATCTCACCCTGAATATAGATTTTATAAATATTGGTTTCAAAACCACAGTTAATTCTTCTTTTATCGATTGTATACTTGGTTAAAACACAGGTTTTGTTGGCTGTGATTTACTGATTGAAAATAAATCAACAAATAATTAAACAGAGTTGAGTGATATTTTAAATAAAAGGACAATAGCATTAATGATGCCCCTCAAATAAGACATTAAATTTAGTATTAAAGACTACAGAGCTGGGAACTTTTCTGTTGGATAATCATGATTCCAATCGCTTGATCTCAATATCCCCTGTGGGCACTTTTAATTGTGGATCTATAAAAACTATTCCTTTCCATATCTTCATTTTAGAAATTACTTTCTTGATCAAAACACTTTCAAATTAGTTTCATTTGTTAAAAATACTTTTTCTTAAAACACTTCTTAAAAGTCTGGGAAATTGCCCCCCCCCCCCTTATTTAGATGAAGTTTTGAAAAAACAAACATCCCTGATCATTTTATTAATTGTTACACATATTACCGAGAGAGATCGACAAGATCAGTTTGGATCGAAGAGGGATCAGAGGAGATCTGCACACAAGGTAAATTCCCTAAATAGAGCCAAATAAGCATTGAATATCTCATACAGACACAGTATTTTTTTTAGAATTAGATATTCATTAATTTAGGCAGAGCAAATGAAAATTAATAATTTTTCATTGGGGAAAGTATCATAAGAGTGTAAAACTTATTGAATTGAAGTTGGATGTTTCATTACCACCATATATATTTCCAGAATAAAAATTATTGAAAAAAATTATAATTATTATTACTTTTAAAAACACTTAAACCATTATTATTACTTTATTTCTTTTGTATCCAATATCCAATAAGGGACTCTTAGATTTGATGATAAACATTTATAAATATTCAATTTTGAAAAATATCAATCTTGTAATTATGAAAAAAGAAAAAACAAGAAAAATCAACGAAAAACAAAAACAATAATGGGATCAATAAAGAAGAAAAATCAACCAAGGAATAGAAAGACAATTAACCAAGGAAAAGAAAGANTATTAAATTCTCCGGCCTAATCAACTTTGTAAGTGTTACTTTAATTTATATATATTTGTCGCAACTTATTCACATTTAGCACATTGTAAGTGTTATTTCAATTCATAATTGTTGTTACAATTTAATCACACTTAGCACACCTGGAGCAAATTTTAATGTAAACTTGGCTAATTTTATTTATTTGAATAACTAATACTAATTTATTATTTATTTTAACCCGTGACTGATGTATTGTTTTTCAGTTCACGGGTCCTAGCTCTGTATCGCTGTACCAGAAATAAAGAATATAAGAGACTCATGTGTATTAAAGAGGTGCGCAATGGAGAATTGATGTTGCCCCATCATGTTAATAGCTGAACAATTCCTGTGGATCTAGGTATTGTTTCTAGGGAAATGCTAAAATTCCCAAAACTGGCACAAGATTAAATAAATCTGCAGATAAACAAAATATCGAGATAAATCATTGATATCAATATCCACATTACAAGAGTTCCCGGCTCAGTTAAATCAAATTTATTTCTAACTTCTGCCTGATGACTGACCTGAATGAATCCGAATGAGTAACCCTGATCCAATGCAACAATCCCGAAGAAACAATCCTCTGCTTTGGATCCGTCTGGACCCCAGTCAAAGGAAACCTTTTTTTCAGCTCCAGCCTACAAACATTGAATATATATGAAAAATTATTTTTTTTTTATTAAAAACCTTAATCGGAGGTAAATATTTTGAAGATTAGTCTTTCAAGCATAGAGAATAGAATATAGAGAGAGGAATTTAGAGAATCTCTCGATATGAATTTTTTCAGTCCCTTTCAGCCTGAAAGGGAGTTCAAAGTGTACAAATCATGTAAATGTTCACAAATTATATGCAGTAGAGTACATTAATACAGTATGTTCCCGACTATTCATTTCAATTTCGAATTTTTTAAACTGTTAAATAAACTTTATAATGAATTAGGTGAATAACAACATCATTTGATTTATAGTTATAACGGAAAATCATCGTTTGTAAAGTGGAAGGCATAGAGTCTATGTGAAATGATCATTGGTCAATTATGAAACCAGCCTATTTCATAATTTGGTTTTCTTCTTTATAACGTAAGATCCCTTCCAGCCAAACAGAGGTTTGTTAAAGTATGTCAGCTGACATCTAAAAAAGTTATCTTTAATAAAAAAAATGTTATTTCATAAAAGGCTTTCAGAAAGCTTCGCGTCCCTATTCTTCAAGTAAAAATAATATTTAAACCGCCAAGAATTTTCAAAATTTCAACCAGTGAAAGGGATCATATAAATTGCCACAGAATGTTTATTTCTTTGTAAACTTGTAAAGTTTTAAGCTAGATTTTAGTCCAAAAATACAAAAATCAAAAAACACAACTTGACTAAAAAAGTTCATCAAATATTTAAGGCCTTGGTGTCCCATTCAAGAAAGAAAAAAGAAATTCAAAAAATAGCAACACCCCTTGAAAATGTTCTTTTATCATTATCGTTTAAAACATTAAAACCTTTTCATATTACACTAAGACACAAGGGGTGTCTAGATGGTGGATGGGGGGGGCGGAAAAAAACGAAGAGAAAAATTCTCTCTGTACCTTAGTTTTCCCATATCATCCGCAACTCTAAAGCTGTCAGCTACAGTACAAATTCGATTCTGGAAAAATTTGCTGAAACTTCTAAAAAAAATATACAAACATTAAAATATCATGAAACAAATGTTTGTTGAGTAATATTCTTACTTGAACTTGACGGGGTTGTTGGCGTAGGTGATGAGACCTTGACCAAAGCTGTGAGTTCCATCAGTTATAAAGTTTAAAATCCCTCTGATAGTTTAATTTTCATTTATAACATTATTTGCGGAATGGACAAATTTTTTTATGCGATGATTTGGACAAAACTTTTTACCGGGCAGTAGCAGTCGCTCGAGGGAACACCCCCATGCCTGAAAACAAGGGGGGGCGGTCCCCCTCATCATGGAAAGATATGCGCGGCCCGGGAAGTGGGCAGCTTCTGGCTCCTTTAATTTGACTTTTAAGAATGGATTTAGAACAAAACTTACATATATCTAAAAATATATGCCTTCTTAGTACTTTAGTAAAAATCACCAAAATACTTTTAAATAATGCCAGACAGTAGGAGGGGGGGGGAGGGGGGGGCAAAAAACGCAAAAATAACTATAATGATAAATGAAAATAAATTATTCCTAACAGAGCCCTCAGTGAGCAGGGTTTCCTCATCGAGGTGAACAATCCAATCCTCTTCACCCAGCACACTCACATCATCTTCTACAAGCAGAAGTATGAGACTTTAAAGGGACTGTTGGCGTAATTTTAAGTGAACCTCCATTTACTGAATGTTATGCCCGGTCCAAAATGCTACTAGGATTTCCAACGCTAGTGTATTTTACTTGGGCGCCATTTAATTGCTAAAAGCTAAAATATCTAACGGTCATAAAACATAGTAAAATTAGCGCTTTTCTAGGATTAATAATTAATGAAATTGTCAAAAAGATTCAAGACATTTTGTTCCTTAATTAAGGGAAATTTATTATGAAATTCACAAGAAAGTTTTTTTTGGCATTAGACTGACGTTTATTTTGACAACAAGTTTTGAATTAATCTGACCCCTCAAAACTTTTTAAGCAGTAGCTTAGATTTGTTCCTCAACCAAAAATTGGCTTGTTATGTTTATCCAGTGGGGGGTGGGGGTAGCCTCTAGTTATTAATGTTTCCCATTTTAAGAGACATAAATATGTTTTAAATATGCAATTGTTTTTCATTTATATAGGCTTGAGACAACTATATACTTATATATTTGATTTGATTTTCTAAATGTAATTATCAAACGAAAAAAAAACTTTATAACTTTTTTAAAATAAGGGAGAAAGACAAAGATGAAGCTATCATTACTGACAATTTAACAAGTAACATAATAACATCATTAAAAAGCTATTCCAATCTTTTCTAGAAAAAAACTAGGACCCTTGATACATACCTAAACAATACTGAAGGGCTCTGGCTTTGTTTAGGGCCCCTGATTTAGTTTTATATGAAGTTGGAACTACAGTTTCGATTGTTCTTTTATCCTGCGGTAAACCTATACTCTTATCTGTAACCACCTTAACAAGACTTATTTTCAGCAAAAAATTTAATTAAAAAATTCTTTTTCCTTTAAAGCTTAAATTTAAAATAGGATTATTGCATTGGAGTAATCCTAATCATCCATTATCCAAAAATTATCAACTTTTGACGAAAAATTAGCAGATTTGCGATTATTGTTTTCAGAATAGTTATATATCGAATGAATATGTCGACAAGAATTTAAGTCAAATCTCCGATACCCATTGCAACTTATCTATTTCCATTATTATTAAAAAAAATTCCAGTAAAGTCTGATTTAACATTTTCTCCCAAATTCGAAAATATTTCCCACCACTTAGCTTGGGGAGATGTTATTTTCAAATAAACTTTTTTTTGATACATTTAACTTTCAATTTAAAAAAATGATTAAACTTCTATTAATTACCTGAAGAACGAAGTTTTCAATGCCAGCATCCAGAAGAGTATTAATATTAGTTTTTACAGTTTTCTTCACAAGATTAGGATACAGGCCTCGTGTTACAACCCTTAATTAAGAGAAAAGATTATTAACTTATAACTAATCAGATAATATAAATTACAGAAATTAAATGCGCTTCGGGCCCATCAGATCACTAGTCCAAAAATGCGCGACATAAAGATCAAATCCGCCATGATAGGTTGTATAGTGTACAGAGGCGTATTCAGGAATTTTTCCAGACTCACCAGTCATTGGAGCCCAAAAACCCCATATTTCACTGACCCGTGGGGGGGGGGGGAAGGGATTGAGAACCAAAGGCCCCCCCTGAATACGCCTCTGATTGTGCACGTTTACAACTTTGACCAATAATGACACTGCTATTTATATGTCAATATCGAATTCAATTCGGGATCAGCCTATACCCCCTTGAATGTTTTGAGAACACGCCCTTTAGGCTTTAAGTGTATTCACTTTAGCAGGTCAAAAAAGGCGTCAAACCACCTATTAAGTGTGTCCTCTTTATTGTGTCTATTTCAGTGTGTGGTTAACTTTAGAAAAACAAAGGGAACATGAGCGCAGGGGCGTACTATGGGGGGGAACTGGGCTCACGTGCCCCCCCCCCACTAAATTTGTTTACTATGGTAAAATTAATAATGTTAATTGAAATTCTCTTTTTGTTGTAATATGGTACATCATATAATGCACATGTTATAGGAACCACTGATAATTAAAAAAGGGGAAACCCAGCAAACAAGATGAGCACACGGAGTCCCATTATCTAGTAACTAAACATTTCGTCATGGTTGCAATCTTTTAATTACCCCCCCCCCCCTTGGTAAATATCGTAACAAAAGTTATAAATTTTTCGGGGAAACTTGCATTAATAAGAGCTTAAAACAATTATGTTACAATAATTTCTATTTCTTTGTTCCAACCAAACCGTTGAAAACTAGAAAACTACATATTTTCCAATTAAAATATTTAACAAGCTACCTCACACAAATGAAGGGAGCAAGAAGCGGACTAGATTGAAGTTTATCCTTACCCCGAAAAGCGTTCAAACTAGAGGTAATCAACGTGAGATAAATTAAAACAACAAATCAACCAATCAATCAGCCAATCAATCAACCAACCAACCAACCAAGCAATCGACCAACCAAACATTAAAGCAAATAACTAATCAATGAACTAAATAATTAATCTATCGATTAAACAATTAAACAATCAATTAATCAACCAAATAATAAAGCAAAGAAATTACATTATTTCACCAACAACTAACTTCAAGTGATCCTCCATTTACAGAGTGGCATGTCCTATTCACAATTGTACCCTTTAAACCTTTGTCTGGGAAAAAATAATAAATAAAAACAAGCTTTTATTAGTTTTTCATTATTGATAATTTTCAATTGCGGTCCTCTTTATTGTAAATAACGGATTTATTCAATAAAAAATAAGAAGGAAAAAGAGATAATTTAAATGTTTTCAGGGCTGAAAACCGACAATATCTTCCTTGTTGTTAATCTACAGGGCTGAAGGGTACTGTTGAGAATCGGACATGTCTGCTAATAGATGGATATTTACTTATATTAAGTCTAAAGTCCCATGAACCATTGCTGCTCACATATTCTAAACCAAAGAGAAGGAAAAAAACTTAAACCAGATAGAAGGACGTTGACTAATTCTTTTGTATTTAAAGGTTACAATACATGGCACCGATATGACATTTAATCGCAATCTTTAAATAAAAGGTCAAAATGACTATCTTTATCTGCAACCAACTCATAAAACAAAACATCTTTGGCGGATAGCAATAAGACGAGAAATGATAACGACTAACTATATTTTTTATCTAAGTTTACAAAGTAGAAAATATATATATCATGACGTGGCTTCTGGAAAACTCCCTCTATTCTTCTACTTGCCGCGAAAAGGTTCTTCTTAGGAAAGACGACTTTCATAGCCGCCACACATCAGAAGTATAAAAAACCAAGCTAACAAACCACCCAAAGAAATAGCAACCTAATATGTATTGAAATACAAACAGACCGACAAAAAGCAAAACATACAATAAAAAACAAAACATAAAATAAAAAACAAAAACAAACAACAAAAAGCAAAACATACAATAAAAAACAAAACATAAAATAAAAAACAAAAACATACAACAAAAAGCAAAACATACAATAAAAAACAAAACAAACAATGAAAAACAAAAACATCAATAAATGTTAAAAGTATCCCGAAGATTTTCCTGACAAGCCCAACGAGGTTAAACAGTGTCTGTGGTAGGGCGAGGAAAGACAATAATCTGAAAAAAACACGTTCATTTTTCAAAATATTTGGTCTAGAAAATATGAAACTGTAGATAATAATATTTCAGGGGGGGAAATGCCATCTTTTTTCCCAGTTCATGCCTAAAACTAATAATTTCCCTCATTAAATTTTTTCCCCGAAAACGTAGATTTCCCCAATACCATGAAATAAAGTTATTTTTGGTTAAATAAATTTATACAGCAAATAATCTCTTCAAAATATTTTCTTTTTTAAATGTATAAACCTTTACCTTAAAAATATAATTAATACTGTTATAATGGTTCCATATTCGATCCAGGGGTCAATATTATCCACAGGGGTAGGAGAAAACCTAAACAATAATTAAAATATTTTTGGGAGGTCAACGTTAACATTCTTATAAATGTGAAAATGGTTTGAATTTTGATCTTATACCAAATATTGAAAAAAGAAAAACATTTTTAACTGAAAATATATAAAGCAGGAAAAATAATTCTTGAGCATACTTTCTTAAAAATTTTCACGCCCCCACCCCACAATATTTAGTTCAGCGGAAATTCTTTTATCAATCATTAGTGAAAAGTATCATATCATATCATAATTGAAAACCCCTGTTGTAAATACTGATAAAAACGGTGCGAGGATCATGTATGAAAATAATGATTCAGGGTTATCTGCTTCAACCCCCCCCCACCCCTCGAAGATGGAGGGGGGGCATGCCTTATTCAAAACAGTGCTTTTAAGACCTTCATCTGATTGATACTAAGAAAGATAACTTCGGTTCTCTAACTTGGTCAGACATTAAGCTTTCGAGGCTACCATTAATGATCGGTTTAGCTCTAACGTCCCTACTGTACTGGGGAAAATATAAGATCTGGGACCGTGGGTAGGGAAGAAAAAACATGTCCTTGAAAATAAATACCCAGCTCTGACGATTCTTATTTACTTCACCTGATTCCTTCAGTTGCCCAAGAAAAAAAGGATAACCATGATACTACACATATACAGTGCAGTGTATGCTTCACTTTACTATTCAACATCATGTTTCACAATTTATTTGTTTATTGTTAAATATGTAATATACTACTTTTGTACTTTCCCTAAACCCAGTGTACTTCTATTGTTCCATTATTGAACAATTAACATTGATGTTCTTGTACTTTAAAAAACGTTGAATTTAGCTAGTTCACTTTTATTAAAAGCCCTGTCGTACACTGATTATGTACAACGATTGAGTAGATGTACAGCTAGAGCAGATAATATCTGAAATAAAATTTTATAAATGATTCCCTCTTGTGACAGAGTTGTGTTTGTCCTAGTATACGATGTGGCCGCAGCGCCCGGCCCCTAGCCTGTCCTAGCCGCGGCGCTCGGCCCCCTAGCCTCTCCTAGCCGCGGCGCTCGGCCCCTAAACTGTCCTTGCCGCAGCAATCGGTCCAAAAACTGTTAATTAACCTAACCTAACCCGTAAATAATAATAAAAATTTTTTTGCTGAAAGATAAGTGTTCATGTACAACATTGATAGGAAAGGGGAGAGGGGTCCAAAAATCGTATACTAGGGTGGACCCAACGTATTTATATTTAAACCATTGGTGTAACTTTTACGTCGATTGTAAACATTTCTCAAATCGTTTGCTAGAATTCTATCAACCAAAAAAGGTGGGGGGGGGAGGGGGTGAATTGGCACAAATGTTTAGCTGACTATCAACTTGTGAACTGATCGACGTTACCGACCAAAGATTAAATTCTAACTAAAATGTAAGTTTGTGAATTTGATGAGTAATTGTGAAAGATAAGAATTAAAACCTCTGAGCGGACAAACAAGTGAGTGTTTTTTAAATCACTAGGCAGAGGGATGTGACGTTATTCATGGCGTTAACAGTTTGATACACCGCCGCCAATATAATGATTCAGACTGACTTCTGCAGACTGCAACTATACAAGAATAAAACGAGGTTTCACACAATATTTCGCGTCGAATATTTGTGAATCACGTAAATAATTTTTCATTCTTCTTGAACTCTAAAGTATGTAACAATTGCAACGATATAATTCTTTCTATGAATTTACCAGACTTTAAGCTAGATGTATGTGCTGTGTTGTGGTGTGACTGTGTGTAGTGTGTACATTTGTTTTGTTTGTATTGGTTGTATTAGAAATCAGCTGTTCAGTGTTCCCCCCATAGTTTCTCCCCTTTNTGAACTATTTTTTTGCTCATTTGAACTGCGCTTTTTTGCTCATTTGAACTGTGTTTTTTGCTCATTTGAGCTTTTATTTGGGTCATTGGAACTATTTTTGGCTCATTTGAACTATTTTTTTGCTCGTTTGAACTATTTATTGGCTCATTTGAACTATTTGTTCATTTGAATAATTATTTTGCTCATTTGAACATATGTTTTTTGCTCATTTTAGCTTATTTGGCTCATTGTAGCTATAATTTTTGCTCATTTGAACTATTTTTTTTGCTTATTTGAACTATTTATTTGCTCATTTGAATTATTTCTTTGCTCATTCGAACTATTTTTTTGCTAAATTGTACTTTTTTTGGCTCATTTGAACTATTTTGTTGGTTATTTATAAACTATATATTTTTCTGCTCAATTGAACCATTTCTTTTAATTTTTCAAATGAGCAAAAATAATAGTTAAAATGTGCACAGAATGTTATCGTTCAAACGACCAGTAGTTCTAAAAAATTCAATAGTTCAAACGGCAGTAGTTCAAACTAAATTGCACCAATTTAGTTTAAAATTGGGAATAGTTGTCCTCGTCAAGCATGTTTAGTAAAATGGTGGCTATAGTTTTTTATTTTATTTTTACTCTCGAATGGATGCCGTATAAACCTACCTAGATGATTCTAACCTAAAGCTATTTTCTGACCTAAATATCGAAATATTAAGTAGTTTACTTTTAGCACGTGTTTTAGGTCGGTTTGGTTAAATAAGAGTTTTAAAGGTCTTAGCATGCTTTTAAAAATATAAGTTTTCCGACCTCTAAAACATTTTGAGATATATTTAGGATGGTTGAGCTATATTTTAGGTCGGCCTTTACCGGGAAGTTTAAAGATTGAGTTGTTGACAATTTTAGGTGCACTTGATGTCGTAGCGATTTCTAAACAACAACGACGTCACTCCGACGTTTTTTCGACGTCTACTGGTTTGGTGGGTTGTGCCCATTTTTAACACTCAGCATAACATGCATTTTTGGAACTAATGTCACTTTTGTGAGAAATGACAATTGAAAAGAATAAACCTTGAAAGAGATGAACAGAATTGATCAGACAAAGCAAAGGAAGTGGAACCGTTGTGAATCGGACATGCAAGTACTTTATAAATTGAGAATCCCTTGACATTGATTCTACACTCTACATACAGTCCATATCAGTGTAGAAGAAAATGAAAACTAAGTTCTCTAAGCTGAAAACTTTAGAATGAGATATCCTTAATACCATTTACTTAATCTAAGTATCCAATAGACACACTTTTGATTTTCTTCCTAAGCCGTTCTTTCTTGGATATATAGTAGAGAAAAATCAAAACCCAATTTTTTAATTTAGAGAGTCTCTCCCGTTTCTGAATATAATCTTAAATGGCACGCAAAATTTCCAAATTTTCAGGATACAAGTACAAGATTAATTTGTCTCGATCTTAAGAAAAAGAGAGGATCAAGCACTAATCTCAATATCCACCATTCTAAAGTTGTCAGCTCTGGTTATCTTCAATTGTATCACTGTGGTACCTGCAAATTCTCACACTAAAATTGTTCAGAATTTTTTTATTTACTGACTATAAACTAAAGCCATGAAAGCTAGTCCTTTTTAGCTTTAAAATGTACATGTCTAGAGCTACAAATTTTACGTATATACAAATTGCATTTGAGTTAGTATAGTGTGGTAAAATCAAAGGCTAAGGACTGAGTTGCAACACTTTAAAGTCGACCCGGTCAACTTTTCATAGCAGTCTGAATCTAATAATACCAATAAATATTGTTAATGATCATACAAGCTGATGATGACATGAAAATAGTCTGTATAGCATTTAGAGATGAACGTATATCGGACATTTTATGACCAGATACTGGTTATTTTATGACAGTGGGGAATATATATAGGGAGTCAGGGAACTTGGAAGTTAAACAACGGATATTTTGCAAGTTCTCCCCCCCCCTACCCCTTCCATTTTACTTCCTTACCCTGCCCTCCCAATCTATCCTCCACCCATTTCCTCTTCTTCTCCTTACAATTCCCTTCCCCCTTCCATTTTCATCCCTTACCCTGCCTTCTCAATTCATCCTCAATACATGTCTCCTCCTTTTCCCTTACATTTTCCTTCCCCCTTCCATTTACCTCCCTTAACCTGCCTTCTCAATCCATCCGTCTTCTTCTTCCATCAATCTTCACCCCTTCCCATACTTCTTCCATCTTCAATCATTCTTCATCCCTCCCCATACTTCTTCCGTCTTTCATCATTCTTCATCC